AATATCTAGAAAATAATTTCACTGACTTATTTGAATATATACGTGATAGTTCGTGCAAGAAATCCGCAAGCTCAGCTTTCAATTTGGTTTTAAGTTAATCCTATTTTCGCGGAGAATTTTTATTCGCTAAAACTGTACGACTTTATCGAGTTTTTTTGTAATGTTACATTTTCACGATTTTTTATACACGGCAGAAGAAATCCAGATGGAATAAAATTTCAATGTATAGTCGCGGAATGTTCCTCGAATGAAATAGATGCGTATTTTTCTTAATTGACACGCAACTGTTGAAAGACCATAACAAAAGCAGGTTCAAAAATCTAAATTATATCAGCTACATTAATTAATCACAAACTAATTCCTGCTGAGCGCTGGATGGCAGTCCGGGCCACACATCTTTGCTGTGCCAACGCAACGCGCATCTCTTTTATGTATATATCATTGTAATTCTAATTAACCCCTTAGATAAAATAGCTAAAAGCGTGCTACGTTAAGCGAAGGTAACATATAACATTCACCTTCATCGCTGATCGAAGCACACATTTATTTATCATCAATTAAAGAAAATGTTTCGGATAAACGTTATTCAGTTTCAGGAAGCATACGCGACATCCTAGATTTTTTGCTTATAAAAAATTTTGATATTTCAAGAGCAACATCATCTAACTTTTAAATCGACTGTTTCATCTAATTAAAAAAGTCATGTAAAAGGAATCTAAAATAATATAGTAATTATTTCGATCTTTGCAACAACGAGAGTAAGCATTTCTACAGAAATATATCATAGATAATTCAACCCCTCCCTTTTTTACAATACTTTGATTCTTAATATTAAATATCTCGTTACTCAAGTCTTGTATTAAAAATTTGCGAAGATAAAATTACATTTTAACGATTTACGAGTTTAATACTCTTGCTTGATTGTTATACAAATTGTATCCCATAAGCAAGATGATTATTTGTATTAACATTTATATTTCACGATACGTATGCAAAGCAAGAAAATCAAGAAAGTACAACAAGACTGGCACTGTTTGAAATTGAAATTTTAATATAAACCAAATAATAAAAATAGAAATAACAAAGCTTCCTCTAAGAGGAAGCAAAACATTTCCCAATAAAAGATGGAAAATAAAAATATTGTTTAACTTATTATACATTTTTTTAAATAATGAAAGTTTACTGCTTTAAATTCAATAGATTTGTTCAGTTTCATAAAAACTCGCAAAACAGATATTAATGCGTAATAAAAAAATGTTAACATTTATTGGTTTATTGCCTCATTTAAATTTCATTATCATCTCTAAGTTTCCTTTTTAAGGGTTCTTTTCTATGTTATCGTACTATATTATTTGAGGAAATCTTATTTTTATTAATTTAGAAATATTTTGTAACTTTTGTTTCAAAGTGTTTCTTGATTTTGTCTTAAAACTAATAGTCCAAAAATTTTAATGTTACAGCAAACAATTGTCTAGCTTAAAGAATATAATAAGTTTGAAGTATCTTTTGGTTTCCCTTGTCCAGTTTCCTTCACTAACAATAAGCGAGTAATGATTTTGAATGCATGGTGATATTAAATAAGATAATATTCTCAAGAAAGTTGTTATCCCCTGAGAAAAAAAACCATTTCCCGAATACCCTTTCTGATTAAATAATTTTTATCTGAAATATTAATTGATGATACGTGAAGAAGTCATTATCTGTGAACGTCTCTCAAAGATGAGACGCAGAAGTCACTCGACAATGGATAATTTTATGGCCGATTGAAAACTTTTGTAGATATATAATTCCTCCTTATACACCCATACACATACACATACATACATCTCCGTAAAACTAATAACGCGTTAATATAATTGTATGTAATTTCTATATAAATTGTTATAATTACAACACGGCACAACCATACAACGTATAGTATATCAAGTTTGTCACTGTATGCAGGATAATGACACACATTTAACATTGTACGTACCCCGAGAGTGCGTGCGTAGTATGCAAATTAATAGCATAACTTGCATACTACGCACACTTAATACGCTAGTATACTTTGTACAATAATACTCGTCTTTTGGGAGAACGATTATGATTAAAGAGAGCTTCGTTTCAACGTACTGAAGGTCAACGTTATTTTAACGATTACTCCGATATTTCACGGATGGGATTATTTTTATTACTTACTTTTCTTACTAAGTCTACTCGATCTCCCCCTCCTGTCCCCTTCCTTTTTTTACGGATTGTATTTCTAATGCGCCGACCTACCAGCGAATCGGAGCTGTTGAGAGTTCCGTTTATTGTAAGTTTCGAAAGACTTGTACAATATATGAATAATCAACAATAAATCAATAATAGAAGCTTCGTGGTCCAAAATCAAAATGAATTGAAGTTGGAAATTATTCAGCTGTACCGAGTATGAATTATAATTGTAATAAATTACATTTCAGCTTTAAAGGAGGATGATATATTTCGTCAAAGATAAAACCCAAAGACAATAATTAATCCGAATAAACATAATCACGTTATAATTAGTTGTAAAAATATTTAAAACTTCAAATTTATACTTTTATCCTGCGTGTAATGCCCTTAAATTATTAAAGATCCCTCCAACTTTTCTTATAAAACTAGAGTTCATTTTTGTGCAACAAAAATCTTGTGGAAACTTCTTTCGGCCCAAGTTTTAGACATTACTTTCATAACTTTTTATATTTACTGTACAGAAAGCTTTTAATACAATACACATGCCAATGTTAAAGCAATTAATTCTTCATGAAAATTGATTACGTAAAGTTTTAGCACGCGTCTTAAAACGTGTCTTTGGAACGCATTCTTTTCTGATTTGGTACCGTATGCAAACGGTAAACAAATTAAGGGAAAAGTGATAACATCACCCTACAAGTCCTTGGAGACTAGGGCGTACCAAGCAACGGAGGAGGCAGATAAACTGGCCAAGGTAGGAACGGTGGAGGACCCATCTGACCAGATTGTCTTTCCTTTCACCGAAGATAAGGTCAGGAGCTATTTGGAGAAAGAATAACTGGCCAGATGGAAGGTCTGTGAGGGAAATGAAGTCGCAAGTCGAATACGATTGCATTCGTGTGGATTAATACAGCCAATAGGATTTATACGAATGGAATAATAATGCACATTTTTTTCTGTACGATGTTACATAAGATTATATTTCGCAACTTTCTTCTCTGCGGTGTTCTTTTAGCGGGCCGGACCCATTAAAACATGACAAAATGTTCGTCGTAATGCGTGATACATCTCATTCGATTCTTTTTTATTTATTCCCCTTTTCGGCTTTCCAATTTGTTTCTTCTCTTTACGATGATCGATCAGTGTTTAATCGTATTTGCCATCAATTTCGGACAGTCTCTGAAATATACCGATCGAAAGAAGCGCGTATACGTAGACGCGTTGTCGCAAAATCTACACTACTCACGATGGCGAACTAATAATCTTTCTTTCACACACTCATACTCTCTTTCTCTCTCTCTCTCTCTCACTTACATATTCAACGCTCCACTTTCCTATTTATTCTCTCATTGTCTTCTCGTGGCCATATAAAAAAAAGCGCTCGATGCCGGCTAGTGGAAAATGAAATCAGGATTAATACAATTCCTCCCGGCTGTCGCGAACGGGAGCGCGGCAAACATTGTGCAAAGTAACAATCTACAATTGCGATGTCGATTAGATCACATCGTTACGGAGCTTTCTTTACATTTATGCAATACGTGTAATGTACCAACTCCAATGAGACCTTTCAACAAGTAATCTAATCAAAAAAGAAAATGTTCTTATATATATGTATGTATATCTTATGTATGTATCTCCTGAATCCTAAAAAAATAGAGTTCTGCGAAATTAATTTACCACAGACCGCACAGATACCACGCACAATAAATTAATTATATAAATTTATTATAGTTAATATTTAAGATACTTCAAACCGTTCTAATTTAAATTTAAGGCAATTTCGTTAGCTTGCACAATGTTTCTTCGCTATATATATAAATGTAAATACACACAACATGTACACATACATGTACACGCATAAATGTGTATATATACATATGTATATAAATGAAATTATAATCTAATATTTTGTTTCGTTTAATGTGTGTTTCAATAATTGATAATATTAATAATATTAAAAGTAACTAATTCGTATTTTTATGATAATTACACATAACGAAATGTTCGCAGTGTCTATTCGTTTGTTATACATATTTTTTTTACACACGCACACACATACACATATATGCATATGTATATGTATATGCGTACGTTATGTGTAAGGGATGTATGTAATGTGTACATACGTATATTTATGATGCGAGCTTACACTTGTATAATTGTTTTGTTAAGTATTTACAATTGCAGAAGGGTATGATCATTATTTTGTAGGCACTATGGCTTTGGACGTACACTAAGTTGTACGTTAGGGTACATCCTTGAGGGACTTCCAGACAATTTTTCCAGTGTATCCTTGAGATCTCGAGGAACAAGAAGAGATATCTCTATACGAATCTCGCTCGATAAAACAATTCCAGCACCGCGTTACTCGACAGTATTCAAGCGTTCACCGGCAAGAAACTCTCTTAAAAAAAGAAAAAACAAAAATCCCGTGATCAAGTCCAGAATAGTACTGCGTCTTAAATCTTAGGATCTTAGACAATATGATCGTTGCGAATTGGGATTAAATACGCATTTAAATATGACGATATAGTCTAAGATCTTTCACTCGTTTTCGCCACTGTACAATGCGTACGTTTTGACTTTATCTACGTTCGTCGTCGTGACATCGATAAAAAGCTAATCAGCGTGTGACTCCTTCTAAAAACCGGCTAGTAACAACTATAAAACGATTACTGATCATCGTGTCCGGTTTCCCTTCCGCTGAATAATGAGGAATAAAATAATGTGTTTAAAACGGAAAACGACGTTTATTTATCTTGATTTACCATTTGACCGGTTGGAGTTACAAAAAAAACACGCGAAGTAAGACTACCATGCTGTCGATTTTATTAACAAGGCAATATATGTATCCGTTAAAAGAAACATCGTCCGGGGGGAGAACGACGGATTCTGCTGTCGCATATTAATTTAGGAAATCGCCCCAGTCCCGATAATATACGCAGTCCTTTTTTTCGCGCGCGTGAAATAATTCTGGCAATCTCGTCTTTCTCCTCTCCCTTTCCTCTCCATCGCTCAAAACTTGATATCAGAAAGAATTCGATGACTTGAACCGTCTCATTCATTTTACAGTTGGACAACTACAAAAAGCGATCAGGTCGTTGTCCGACACGAGTACAGTCTGTCCTCTCTCTGAATTCTCAAATACATTCTCTCTTTTATCTTAGCTCAATTTACAATATTATTACAGATTGCACGAAAAAGCGCCTTCGCTCCTTAATCTTTCTTTCCTTCTTCTCCTCCTTACACACATATGCACACATATGCACACGTACACACATATAGACACGCACACATACACACACGCGCATACACTCATTCATCTCCTGTCTATGTCCAATGTCTTCGCAATCCATTCCGCGAACGCGATCAACGCAGACCGTATCAAGCCGGAAGCACGCATTAACAATATTGTGATATGTTTATCCTGTGCTTCACAGTTTGGCTCCTTCATTCAGAGTTTGTGATCCTAGAAATTAAAACGATACAACCACGAGACATTCTGGAATGAAATATGCATGCGAAAAGAAAACAAACTGTTAAAATATTCTGGCGCAGGCAGATTAATAACATTCCTTCATAATTTTTATCTGGGACAGATAATGATGGACTGGTTAGTGTAAAATTATTTTACGGAAAAATATAATGCATTGTATAGCAATTTGTACAATCTCTTTGGTTTCTGCGGGGTAAAATTTAAAATTGCCTCTGGCGTATCTCGATAATCTTGTAGTTATTCTTTTATATATATGCACATATATGTATATATGTGTATGTATATAAGCGTGACGTCTTATAAGTACAAAAAGTGCGGAAAACAAATTCCAGGTAGAAAATTGCGTACTTGAAGAAACAATAAATAAACAAAAAGGTCTTTGTATGCTCGCGACTCCTCATGAAAATCGACGCGCGGAACGAAAGTGCTAACCACCATTGTATAACGCGAAGGCGCATTGTAAAATTGACGAAGCAGTTCCGTCCGTTTGAGGAAACGGACACGAACGCCCGTGCAAGCGATGATATATCTAAAATTTAAAATCGAAGAGATCCGAAAGACCTTCCTCGGTGCCTAACGAGAACGAGTAGTCGTTTTCGGAGAGAGGCGGTTCCAAAGTCAGTAGTTGTTCTCCAAAATCGAGAATACTCAGATCTGCAACAAAAGTAAGACGAATGATGGACTTGCTATAATATCAAATCCAGCAACATTTTCGTTAGACCATTTGCAAACAAAATTATTTGAGAAAATAATTCTGCAAGCTTTTGATATGTTATATGAAAAAAATTTAATTAACTCACGTGTCACGGATTCTTAATTTAAAAAATATATATTAATAATACAGAACACCTGATTTACTTTAGCTTTCTTGCGATGCGCCATATAAGCACTTTTTATTTTATTTAAAAAGTTTGCAATCTGCTATGAAGCGTTAAAGAATACAATTAATGCATATCGTTAGTTTCTAGAGTTATACATGTTAAGAGCAGTTTGTCAAATACGCTAAAGCTTCTACCAAATAAGTTTTGAAAGTAACAATGTAATAATGTTTCTGTAAGAGATCGTTTAGTCACGTAAGATAATTTCTATTTGTAGAATCAAGGAAGTGCTGCAAAATTCGGGTCGATGACATCAATTTCTAATTTACATATGTGTTCCTTCAAGAATTTTCCGAGATAATTATATTAACAAGATATTATTTTTTACGGAAAACGCATCTATCACATGATATAATATTAACGTGGTAACATTATATGAAACATAACAAATGCCAATAATTAGTATAAATGAAACGTACCTTTACACGACACGAGCTTTGCTGTTTGAAACCGTTACCTAACTAGAACTCTGCCTGTGATGTGATTTTGATAATTTTAACACACAAGTCACAGCCAGAGCTCCATCAGGGCACGGCCATCATCCATTGGTGAAAAGGCAATGAAATATTCAAAAGAAAGGTAATATAGGTTATTAAGATACATGGGAATATTTAACTTTCACTACCTTTCTTTTGAATAATATTTGTCCACAAGTGATTACTAAAATATAACATGCAACACGTTCTTTCCGAGTGAGAAAGTTTATAATAATTGCAAGATAATTATCTCATATACATAATATTTGTCTTGCGAAGCTTTCAATATGAAAAGAACGTTCAATAAACTGGAATTCTTTTTAGTAACACAAACAAAAAAATTGTTTAATACTTTATTTAAACAAAAAGAATACAACTGTACATATATTAAGCGTAAAGCATTAAACTAAATGGAATTATTTTGCGCAAGTAAAATATAAGAAAAAAAATAAAGAAAAATACGCAATAAGATAATACAACAATCGTATTTATTAAAATATAACAAAAAATATTGAATTATAAATATATGAAGAGAAGTAAATCAAGAAATCCTTTTTTTATACTGTACGTTAAAATGAAATATAGGAAAGTTCTTTCTCAATTATCCTGCATTAATAAATGCAGAACAACAACTATTTGTTAATCGATAAATCGAGAAAAGTCTTCGGTATATTCAATCAATCTGTACTACTACGAGTGCACAGAGTAACATATAAAAAAATTTATTTAGCGTATAGTGCAAAGGAAAAAAATTGTCTTGCTTTATTTCCGACATAATAATTCAATATAATTGAAGTAAGAGAATTCTTAATGCCAATTACAAGAGAATATGTTACAACATAATTAAATACTGACTACTGCTTATTCCAATATTTGATAATTAGAGATACAAATATATTTTAAATAAAAGGAAATAAATTATTAAAATAACATGTTATTAGATTTTGTAGAAAAATCTCGATATATTCGATAACAAGGAAAAAATAATTTATAACTTTTCATTTTGGGTATAACATTGTAACATATTTGACACATGATACAAGATATTTAAATGTGCATTTAAATTTACAATTTACCATGATCCATAACGCTACACAATCTGCGAGAATATTCAGTACTTTTTAAAATGCGACTAATGAAAAAAACACAATCTATAACATTAAAAGTTTGACAATTTCCTTATGCGAACAAAATAGAATATATCTACTAACTTTTACTAACAAAAGTGAAAGAATACTAAAAGAAGAAACTAATAATAATTTACTGAGCAAAGGGAGAAAATCCTACCTTAAAGATTAAATGACTTTCCCTACTTTAGATCCTTTAAAGTTAGTTTAAGCATTTTACTATTAGTAAAGCCATTAGTATAAAATATGAAGGAAGCATTTCTTTGAGAAAGAAAGAGAAAGGGCACACAGGCATTAATTCCTTCTAATCTTACCTGAGCTGATTTGGTCCTCTGTTTGGAGTTGGAATTTACCACCACCCATTGGTCCATAATCATCGGATTCGCATAAGAACGCGTCCTTCATGCTCGTTATATTGGTAACTGTAGTTACGGGGGTACACAGACGAGTATTTATGAAACTCTCGTCGGAAGATGCTGGCTCGATTTTCACGTCGCTTTCTCGATTAATCAACAATTCAGGAGGCAAACAAGGTATATCGGATTCTTTTGATTGAGGCACAGATTGCGTTGTCGCGTACCCGGGATAGGGTAACGTCGTTTTGACTGTAGGATCCTCAGGACACAGAAACACATCTATCTCTCCGTGTTTTGACCTCATGTGCATTCGGAGCTGAAAATATTGACAGGATTGGGATACAAGGCGTAAGTAAAGATCTCCTTTTGATTGGAGAATGCAGAACAACATTTTTGTCTTGGCCTTAGAGAGCCATTGAAAAGTGTAATAATATGTAGAAATAATATCAAACTGTTCATCTTACCTCTTGTTGACCTAAGTGACTGATTGGTTGTGGGACATGGAGGGTAGCTTCCGGCGGGGCCTTCACAGCCATAATAACTTGGTCTTTGTACATTGAGACTGAACGTAAATCATGATGCGTCACATAAGCGTATTGTCTGTCGGCGCAGAGTTCGCGGAGGTTCTTGTCGGCACCGTCGATCAGTCGATCCAAGGTGTTCTCCTTAGATTCCAAATCCGCGACCTCCCTTCTCAGATTAGCGATATCGTTCCGATTGTTCGGTAACTGGCCGCCTCTGAAACAAGCAATTGGCGAGCGTAATCTCCGGATGCATCGATGTAGGTGGTAAACTGTAAGATACACATATGATGTATAGCAGACAACGTACTTCCACTGGATATTGTTTTTACTTTTCTTCTCCAAGATACCGATGCCCTCTAAAACATTGGTAATGTCGTATATACGACGTTTTTGTACCTCCAACTTCTCCGACGCCACATTCAGGTCCACCACGCCGTCCTGACTGCTCTCGACCAAGTGAATAAACTTCTTTGTGAGCAAACTCAAGGACGTGTCGTACCGTGTCCTCTCTACGGTTTTGCCTGCAACGTAACAAACAATTGCCTCCTTGTACGGCACGCGGAAGAAAGACGGGGGAAAGGGGTTGTAAAGTGAAAGCGACATTTACTCTTGGTGGGCGTGTGACCAGCTAAGGAACTGGAGCCGGATCTTCTACGTTTACCTCTGGGTGCTTTGAAGGCAGACTGGCTGGGGCCAGTTGTCCCTACCTCCAAATTCAGTCTTCTTTTTACCGCTTGAACTGATATCTGCCAAGGAGAGAAGCGCTTTCGTTACTAAATCAGCATGGTATTGACCGTGCTAATTTAGTGCCACCGAGCACATCAATACTGACATTTATACACGTTAAGATTACTGTAAGAAATCTGATTACTGTAGAAATTTTACCTCGGCATCAATTTACCAACATCACTCATCAATCTTTTACCTCAGCTCTTGGTGGTGGCTGTGTGGGTTTTCTCGTTATTTGATAACAAGGCGTTTGTCCATACTGATGATCCTGTAAATGAGGGCTTGGCGTCTCCTCGGCCACCTTTGGAGGTTGGATCTCGTCCAGGGAACCGTCGTCCAGGAACTCGGGCTTCACTGTAGAGACACGTTTACACCCAGGTTAGTCCGAGGGTGCTAACAAGTGGCAAAATAACGCGAGACTTGGATTATTCTCTCCGCGAGTGCAACTCACACAGCTTTGTCTCCACCATGTCCGGCGTGACCGGCCTGGCCGGATCCTCCAGGATCACTTGTCTCCTCACCCGAGGCATCCTGGTAACGCGCCTTTGTCTGAAACCAGGCGACACGTCAAACTGACAAAATTGCAAAGCCACGCGCACCAGTCTCTAATTAAATAATTCACGCCGCGCGAAACGCCACAGCGCTCTTTAAAGCTCTGTACCACTATTAGGGCGGATAAAATTGGAGACGCAACAAGCGGCAAGCGATACAGACGTGACGCACCCTCGACAGATCGACCGGGCATCTCGCGTGCGCGCGTAATCGCTGCCGCTACCGGCGGTTGGGCGCGCGCGGAAAGGCTAACGGCGGCGCACGGACCGACTTCTACTGGGCGCACTCCGCATTTTCGGCTGTTAACCGCTGCTGCTGCTGCTGGCCGCGAGTGCCGCGACACGTGCGGCCGCCGCGACGGCGGCGGCGGCGAGTGTCATTTTTAAATCCCAAGGTTTTTCAGTTCTCGCGCGGAGGGCGGGGAGGGAAGGAGAGAAAAAGCCGCCGACGACGCGGATGACGGGCCAGACGGGCGACCAGTTCGCGCACCGGGCGTGAAAGCGACGAGCGTGTGTATACACACGTGCGCGCGCGTACGCACCACGGGCAATAACGGAAATAATAAGGGCGACGCGAGCACCGCGCTCGGGCAATGCTACATGCGCGATATTAGCATCACCCTCTCTCTCCCCCTCCTCGACTCGCCGTCCGCCTGTCTTTGGCGGAAGGCGCGATCGGATTGCGCGGCGCCGTGCTTTAGGTCGGACGCGCACGAGACTCGCGAGTCCAATGAGAGACGGCTGCGAGGGGGGACGGAGAGGAGAAACGAGCCGGAGAGCCGGAGAAAATTCGATTCCGAGGAGAAACGCGAGCAAGAGCTCCGGAATAACTCCGTTAAATTCGAACGCGCGCGGAGCCTGAAAAGCGAGAGGAGGATCCGATAAAATGGAACCGGAGAAACTAATCAGATGAAATTGAACTTGAAGAGGTCCGGCTTGTGTATCGGATTTCGAGAGCGAAAGGAGAAATGGGACAGAAATCAAGGAAAGGGAAGATGTCGCGGGGTACAATCTTATGATCGGGCGCTTTTGGCCATACCCGAGCGAGAGAGCCGCACAGTTTCTCCAAGTCAGCACAGCTGATCACCCGTCGTTATCTTTTAAAAGGCAACATCGTCCCCAAATATCTCGTTGATAATTCCAAAGTCGTTGATCGTCGATAGCTAATCAAGATTTCAGACTTTCGGATTCCCGCCAGCTGGGCAATCAGGCAGGTTGTCTCTCGCCTAACTCGCCCAAAAATAGGATTCGCGCGCATTTACAAATTCACGGCGTGTTCCCATTTCCTCGTCACGATCGGTACCGCTGACAGTACAGCACTAATTCGGTTCGGGTAATAATTGCGGATGGACAAAAATCACTTGACTGTTTAAACATAGGCGCTTTTTGACAGCACGACCTGAAGCGAATTAACTCCCAACAGTTTCGAGCATTCGGTCTCGAAGAAAGGTGCGGGTGGTTTAGAAAAGAATAACTGCTGCTGTTACCATTTTCTCAAAAGATAAATTCAGTAATAGCATCCAGTACTGGCAGTAGTACCGAGAGAAAATGGGAAAGACACGCTCGCGCGCGGAATGGCGCCTCGCAGATCGACTCGCCGTGTGTCAACTGAAGCGTCCGCACGTGACGCCGTTTATATCCATCAGAAGCTATAAATAAGAAGATTACGTTCTCGAAAGTCATTTCTCGCGTAAGCGCGTCTGCGTCGGCATAAACATACAGTAAATGTCGCATCGGTGGAACTCGCGGGATGCCGGTGTTTGCCTGCGCAAGTTGTATCGTAACCCGATGAAGATAGAATGCGATTTTAATATCAAGATTTGAAAGAAAAGTCGTATCTGTAGTAGCATAGTATAAACTAATAGGTTCACTCATTTGTTTCGCGTTACTTTTCCAAATTCGTAACTTGTAATTCTAACTAGTTACACTTTTAGCGAGAAAAATGTAACTACCCGTACAGCACAAAACTTGCAGTTACATTGCAATAACATTGCTATAATATTACAACATTGCTGTGATGTTGCTGCAATGTAACTGCAAAGTTTGTGCTGCATGGGTAGGTACTTTCATCAAGTAACTTCCGCAACTCTGTGTAGTAGCATAGTATAACTAATATAGTAAGTTCACTCATTTGTTTCGTTTTGCGTTGATTCTTTCTGCGCATCTGACATTGTTCCAGGCAGACCAATGAGAGAAAAGTTGTATATGTCGTAGTGTGACTTTGATGATTACGTATAACAACACACACATCGCTGGATCCTGCCCGAGTGCATGGTGGAATACGCGATCGGGACCGCAAAGATCAAAGGGGCCGATAGAGAGTGGACCTACCAGTTATACTATGATATTCGGTATAAACTTGATAGTTTGTCCGCGCTGATTGTATTTCGGCCCTTCATCGAACGCAAACACGCTTCTCCGTTGTTGCGACATAGCCGCATTTTCAGTAAACTCAAAGTATCCACGGTAACGCAATCAGCAGGGGCTCGATTCCTGAATTCATTCGAAAAAGAAATTTATGCGAAAATTCTCCTCTCAGGGTGCCGTCACGTGCAGCGTAACCTGCGTAATGGCTCTTGCAGACGCTGCTGAATAAGAAATGTCTAGATACTCGAGAATTTTACTATCCTGCAGCCAATCAATACACTTAAAAAGTTTGTCGTACGACAAATGTAATACTAGCCTAATTACTCCGCGGAAGAAATGAAAAAAAATGCTCGATCGCAAAAATGATTAGTTCGAAGAAAATATTTTTATATCATTCGCGTGATAGCTTACACTTTCATTGTTTAATTGTTACGTGTGATCGAAAGAACCAGAGACAAGAGAAGGGATGTCGGAAAAGAATCGAGGGAGGAGCGAGTTAAGAATATTATATCGCAAGATGATTCAAATCGAATGAGCCGACTTAAGGGCCTGGCGTGGCAAACGCTTGGTATGCGTCCGAGAGCGGATCCATGGTGCGCTCGGACCGGGGAATTTTAGAAAAAAGAAAAAAGAACAAGCATTCCGGGACAAGCCGATCGTTCCGGGTGCGATTTAAAGAGACGGTGCCCCGCGTCCCGAAGATATACCAGCCCGCATTTGTGATTTATTCAACTTCGATTACAGGAGGTTTTTGTAACGCTTTGAAATAACGTACGATGAATATAAATGTATTTGTCGGATCTGTTTTCCCTTGGACAGATCAAGAACAATAATATTGCAATAGGCGCTTGTATTCAGTTTCGTTAGCATATTCCAAATGAGTGTAGATCGAGAGAAAGAACTTGCAGCCATGATGTAAGAACATAAAGGTGCAATTTCACGTGCTGCTGAAATAAGCAAGTGGAGCGACAGATCTGTCGCTCTTATTTCAGCGGCTAAAATTTTGTAGTTTGAATAGTTTCAACTACAAAGTTAACGCTCAAACGTTGTACTATGTAATGTGGCAGCACTGTAATAGTGCGAGGTACTACCGCAGTACATCGCCGACGATGGCAAACATCGTCCTGTGTTCTACAGTAATAGCATTCTTTTCATAGCAATCAATCATAGCAATTGCAACTACTGCATTATTTTCAAATTCGACTTTACGTTCATAAATGAATTTGTTACAATTTAGTAACCAATTGCAATATTTTTTTTTGAAGCCATAACTCGGAATTATTCTGTCTTCCCTAGAAAACACAATAGAAATATAGAAAATAATTGAATAATTCTAATCTAAATTAATTCCAAACAGTTTCATAATACGCATCATGGTAAGCACGTTTGAGGTCCTGTCGCTTGAAGGTTAGAACTGTCTTTTAAACACAGATTTGCTGCTTCTTGCCATTTTTCATGTGCCGTAACAATGCTGCTGTAACAATTCTGCGACAAAAGTAATCACGTGACCCTTTTTGTCGCTGAAACGGCTGGTTCGAGCGACACGTGAAAATGCACCTTAAGGCGAAACATGCGCGTAATGACCAATTTTCGGAGCAAACTGTTCATTGGTTCTTGCTGCATTCAACCGCAATGATTTGCAGTTCGAAGGTTTGAGGCGAACTTCTGATTAGTCGAAGAATCGCCATTAATTGGATGAGTGCGCATGCACGGGAATGTTTCACCTTATATTCTTACAGCATGGTTGCAGCGTCAACGTTGACGCAACTTCGGCTCGGATCTTCTGGCGGATACACAACCGACTAGCGGGAGCTAATGGGATCTCCCGGGACCAATAGCGTCACGACTTGTGCCCAGAAGGTTGGGAGCAATGCACGACGCCATTGATTGGCCGGCCGTATCTCGAAGCAGAGTATCGCACGGCGCATCAGCTGCACTCGATGCAAAATTAATGCGGCGTCAATCGACAAAAACACGCGACGTCATCCAACTATTTGTCCATCTCTCGTCCTTATGTCGCGACGCGAAGGAAGACCGACGTCGCTCGCTGATTGGCCGCTCGCGGGGATGGCCCGTCAAGTCGACCTCGGCGCGAGATTAGCGAGTCGACGGTACACAACGCGCCCACCTTGATTCCGGAAACGCGTTGGCGTCGCGAACAAAAAGACCAATTCGACCATAGTATAACTAGTATGTTCACTCTGTCATTTGTTTCGTTTTGCGTCAATCCCTTCGCGTCGCATGTCCCAACATGCTCCAGCTTGTTCCAGCGACCAATACCGTCACTTAAATCGCAAATAAAAAGACGGTATTGGTCGTTGGGACAAGTTGGAGTACGTTGGGGCATGCGACGCGAACAGACCTTACGATTCGACCACTTCCTCGGGGATTAACAAGCCCGCGGGGGTGGCCGATAGCGACTTTTCCGTATGTTCGCAACCGGGCACGACGTGGAACTAACGCCGGGTTCTCAGTGCGCCTAAACGGGAAGCGTCGCCGCTACTACCACGACAGTGGCGGCGGCGGGCGTCCACGAGACGTGCGCTGTGCGAGGATGCAAACGAATGCGCAATGTGTCTCGTGTGCACGAGGCTTCAGGCGGCCAGATGTGACGAGGCCGACCCTCCCTCTCTCTCTCTCTCTCTCTTTCACCGTCTGTCTCTCTGTCCCTTCATTTCGTTCTTCCGCTCGTAGAGGTCTTAGGTCGCGAGCTGTGTCGACACAGCTACTTCCCTTTCCAGGGTGGCCTCGCCTAGACCCGATTAACTCCATCGGTGATTAATTTGTCAAATAACAGCGGTATACCGTTTAACAAGACTAATACCAGAGGCAGCGAAATGTAGTTTTGCTTTAAGCAATCTTGCCGGTTGAATCAATTGCCGATCAAGTTAATCAGAGTTTGACCGGAGTCGCCCTTGTTTCCGTTTTCTTTAATCTTAGGACTGCGCACGGGGACCTGTGGCGAGACCCAACGGAAATTTCACGTCGCTCGTGTCTTGCGGGAGCTTTTTGTTCGAACGTTTGTATTTCGCGATTTTGGCTAGTGAGTCCGACTTAACAATTGGCGGGCACAAATTTTGATATCGTAACCGCGCGGCTCTTTAATTTAGGAAAAAACGTACTTGTCATATCCGAGAATCTGAAAAACATGGAACAGTCGACGTTATTAAAAACCGGGCTCTAGGATAAACGGGCCAATCGGACGATGGCAATTCTCGGACAACTCGAGGTAACTTGGGTGCTTTTCACTTGGCGTCTCTCGCTTCTCTTCTTATCAAGAAACCTGGCAAGTGGTGCCACGGTTCTGGACGTAGCGCGCAATCAGCTGTTACCATCGATCGAAGGCCACGCGTTGCCGCCGGCGCGGCGTTGACGCGCCGTCGATTGTCAGAATTCTCGATTCCCCCTCGAAAGAGCGAGACCCGAGGAAAAGCGCTATATCGTTTGACTCGCGGTTACGGGACGGCGACCAATGGCGTGCGAGCGGAGGAGAAACGACGCCTCCCCATTGGCGGGACCGTCGCGTATCGCGCGCGCCTCCAACATTTTCGCACGATTTCGAGACTCGAGGTCCATCTCGCCTCTCCGCGGCCGAGAAACGCCGACGTTCGGAGGGAGAAGGCGCGCACCTTCCCGGAGAGCCGGTCGGCTCGTTATTTTCCCTCTTCGCGCCACCCTTACGTGAATCGAGAGCGGCGGCGGCGGCGGCGTTCGCGGAATCTCGAGGGACTCGGTCCAGTGCCGTACCGCGCCGGCGGATAACGAGGGACTCCCGAGTCACGACCTCGTGCGCGCACACCGACGCCCGTCCGCGCCCTCGCGCACGCACGTATGTGTACGCCGGCACGCAACGCGCGCCGCGCCGCGCCGCGCCGGCACGACGCGGCACCGGAGGAGAGATACGCGCGTGTATCTCGCACACGTACACCGCGCACCGTTTAAAGAGCCGAGACGACACCGCCGGGCCTCCGGTAAGGTGCGCTACCGGCGCCGACGTGGAGGAGCAGCGAGCTACTCCGTTCCCCGAGGAGGCTGCCCGTCTGCCTAACCGAAACAAGGCGAAACGATGCTTTCTATCGGCGGGTCGCCGCGCGAGCGACCGGGTGCTGACCCGCTCGCCGCGTTTCTCCCGCTGGGTAGTCGCCAGATGACGATACACGCGTCTCAATCTCGGGCGAGAAAGAGAGACGGAAGGAACAAGTCGGCGCGAGGAGAGATACGCGCCCGCTCTCTCGCCGCCGCGCCGCGCCGCTCCGTCTCTCTTCCTCGCCGCTCGCTCCCGGTTTTTTCTACTTACTTGGCTGCCTGCGAACGTGCGCCGCGCCGCGCCGCGCCGCACAGTATTTTGAGACGAAGACCCGCGCTCTCTTCCGGGAGAAGCTTCAGCAGGCCAGCGCGCGGCGCGCGGCGCGTGTCACAGGACGGCTGGAGCCGGGCATGCCCCCCGGGTCCGGGTGGCACCGCGGGCGAGTGGAGTTTGCCGAGCGCGCCCTTCCTCGAGGCGCACCACGAGGATTGTCGGCCGCCCTTTGCCTGCGCTCCGATTTTACACGCTATCGCCGCGCGAGGCGATCCCTCCCTCTTTCTCTCCCGGCATGCGTCCCTCTTTTCCTCTCGAGGCCGTCCGTTTCTACGAGCGTGCCGCTGCTAGAGTACGGTGTCCATTTTCTGCGCGATCCGATGCCGCCGCCGCCGCCGCCGCCGCCACCGCCACCACCACCGCCGCCACGATTATGCTACGCACAGGCGGGTCGACGCGGGCGGGCAGCAGGTAGCCAGAGGCGAGCAGGCGGTTCCTCGCGCGACGGAAGGGCGTTCGTCGTCCCGATCGAGAAACCGTTTCGGCTGCTTCTCACTGTCCGGAACGCGGCGTGGCGCGCTCGCTCGGATCTCGGAGCGAGCCCCGCCTCGGCATGCTCGGCTCGACTCGACTCGGGCCGACCGGGAGGCCGGCGAGCAAGGAGAAACGAACCTTCTCTCTCTCTCTCTCTCTCTCTCTCTCTAAGCGTGTCTCGTTGCGTAGCGCGTGCACGTACGAGGCCGACTGGAAGGAAGACCCGGGCGATCGGTCCCTCGAGCGAGGTGTGCGACGAACGGGGCCCGGACTCCGCGGCGCGCTGGCACGACTGGCCGATTCGGGCAACGAGAAGCGGACGGAGTGTGCCGCGTGCGCCGCGCGCCGGTGCTCGCCAAGCCAAGAGAGGGAACGAGGGAGCGGGAGCGACAGCGAGAGAGAGAGAGAGAGAGACAGCAGCGTGTCCGTGCGTATTCGCCAACGTCCGGGGGGCCCTCTCTCGCGAGGTGCCGTACCGGCCCTCCGCGCCACCAGCCGCGTGTCGGTGTATACAAGACCGCAACGTCGGTACCGCCGCGCCGCGCGGCGCCGCCGCCGACGCGTGTATGTGCGGGCCGCGGAAAAGCGCGGACGCGCGCCACAGCGTGAATGTGTCAGCCGTTCGCTCGCGAGCGCGCGGCGCGCATGCGCCGCGAGCCGTTGAACGTGCGTACGCGCGCGCGCGCGCGCGCGCGAGAAAGAGAGAAAGAGCGACGACGCGAGCGAGTCGCTGTGACGGACAATGTCGAGATACCGGTGCGCTCGCGTCTTTCGCCGTCGGAAGATCGCGTCGGGAAAAAAGCGACGGTTTCGCAATCGATCGAAATCTCTCTCTCTCTCTCTCTCGCTCTCGCTCGGCGGCCCCCGACAGGTGACACTCGAAGAGAAAATGACGGGGCGAGGTGTAAACTTACCAGAAACAGCGTATCCGGGGTGTGTGTTCTCGCGACGATCCCGACGGACTCGGACGGCAGAGGCGGAAGGCACTTTCGCGGAGCGACGGGCCCGGGACGCGTTGGTTGCGCGGCGATCAACGCGTCGCACCTCGCCGCCTTTCATAAGTGCGCGCGCCCGCGTGCGGACGGCGGCACCCTCGCCGCGTAGCGGTGGCGGCACTGCTCGGTCGTCCGTGTGCGTGTCGCTGGCGTGTGTCCGTGAGCCAGCGTGTACCGGCCATCTGCCGGTCGCGCGCGACAGCTGAAATACGCGCGCCAAAACCGTCGCCTCGTCCCCGCTCGGGCCGCGCGCGGCGCCGCGTCGCGCGTCGCGCCGTCGCCGGCTTCGGTGTCGCGCCCCTCGACGCGTATGCCTCCTCCTTTCTCCAGGTGATGCCGCGACGCGAGCGAAGCTACGGGGAGACGCGACGAGACGCCCCGCGTTTCAGCGACAGCGACGCGCGATAGCCGCCCGATAACATCGACTCGCGACTATCGGGATTTCGCGCGCGTCATCGCGCCACGCCGAGTGAGTCCTCGTCGCGCACCGTCGGCCAGGGGCTCGCGCCCATCGAGCGATCCGCTCCGCGTCCGGTTTACCCGCCAAAATCCCGTTGGCCGCCGCCGCTGCTCCTCCTCCTCCTCCTCCGCTGCTCCGCCCGGGACCCGGGGCGGCGATAGCGCCGTTCACCGAGAGCTACCCCCGCGGCCGTTGCTCGTCCCCGTGGTCGTTGACGTCGCGCGGCACACCGGTTATCCACTCTCGACACTCTCGCAAGCGTTCCCGCGTTTCCGGAGCGCGCTATTACCATACCGGTCCGCCATGCTCGGGGGTGTCGGCGAACAAAGTGTGAGGCCTCCTCTCGCTTTCCTTCTTTCCCTCCCCCTGCGACCCCTTCCCCTCCTCCTTCCCTCGCCCTTTTCTTCCTTTCTCCTTCTGCCGCGCGCCGACGGGTCCCTTTAATCCGGGGGGCCTCGCGGCCGCCTCGGGCGAGAGAATCCGGCGCCCGGCGGGGACGGAGGGGCGCGACGGACGACGTTACGCAGGCGGTACACTCGCCAATTATGCAATTTAGTGACGTATTAATTTGTACCAAACGGCCGTGCGAGCGCGTACGTGCGGCGCGCACACGCGCCTTCGACGATCCTGCCGGACAC